ATGGTATATAGAGGGGATTATAATCATTGTAATACAACAAGTTGTATGAATTGTTGAATATGAAACTGATGATGTGCCCTATAAACTTTCACTCAATCCACAATAAAAACCTTAAAAAAAAATTCACATTACAATAATTCTGAAACATATTATATGTGCACACACAGACAGTTACAGTTGTTCTTTGCTTAGAATATTTATTTTTGTTTCCCAAACTTAATTTTAACTTTAGTTTTCCGGTAATGTCAAGATACAGATTAGAAGGGTCATTTAATTTGTGTTACACATTGGGCTGCTAACCACAAGGTCAGCAGTTCAAATTCACCAGTTGCTCCAAGGGAAAAAGAGGACACTTTCTGCTCCTGTAAAGATTTATAGTCTCAGAAACCCTATGTAGAATCACTTTTGAGATAGAACTGACTCAACGACATACCGCCACCACCACGACCATCACCAACACCATAACCACCACCATATGGTGAGAAGCAGCCCTGGTGGGACAAACAGTTAAGTGTTCAGCTTCTAAGTAATAGGTTAGCGTTTTGAACCCACTTAGCAGCTCTATGGATTTGCTTCCATAAAGATTATACCCAAAAAAACTCTACAGTACAGTTCTACTCTGTCACATGGGGTTACTATGAGTCAGAACTAACTCCCTGGTACCTAACAACAACAACAGTCCTTGGAAGAAAACGTAATATACAAAAGTAGGTATATGTATTGTTCTAAAAACAATGAAATAGTTTTCACATCTCCTTTTTAAAAATTTATTCTAAATGATCACAGCTAAATAGATGGGGATATGATTTGCTAACATGAGAATAGAGGTAAAAGATTCAGTCATTTGGCTTTTGACATGAATGACAAGCATCCAGTTTCAGCTGTAAATGTATGGCTGTTCATTGACATTGACTGAGTTCTAAATCATGGTGACCATATGCACAACAGAATGGAATGCTGCCAGTCCTGAGGCATCTCCATGCTCACCGGTGGGTGACTCCCCTGTGGCAGCTAGCGCATCAATCCATTGCAGTGAGGGTTTCCCCATTTTTGTTGGCCCTCTACTTGACCAAATACAAAGTTTGTGATAAATAGGGTTTTCATTGGCTAATTTTTGGTATTAGATTGCTGACCTCTCTTCAAATTATGTCTTTGTCTGGGAAGCTCGGTTGAAGCCCGTCTACCATGGGTGATGACCCTGTTTGTATCTGAAATACTGCTGTCATAAGTTTCACCATCATAGTAGCATCCAAGCCACCACAATATTACAAATTGTTAGAAAATGGGAGGCTATAAAGTTATTACTCCATATATGTATTTGGGTTTCATAAATGAGATTTGATATTTAGAAAAAAATAGGAGTCATTCTTTTTTTTTAAACAAGATCAGTAGTATTGAAAATTATGCTTATAGTAGAGGGTTTAAAAAACTTGTGGAAAAACAGGAGAAAAAGATAATGGAATTTTTCC